TCAATGCAATTAATGCATTCGTATACGGAAATAACTTTATCGATCCATAATTTAATGGAATTAATATTATTTTATATGTTTTTCCCGCTTAATGGAGTCATAATTGCCATGCGGGTGAATGCATTTCAAGTCTCAATCGACATTCGACACTATCCAGGATATATTCGTGAAAACTACTCACATCCAGCTCAAAGGGAAACAAGTATTCACTTCATTCGTTAATTTACCTTCGTCTTTCTTAATATCATCAAAAATCAGCTTTTTTAATAGTACTAACTTGCTGTGTCTTATTACGAAAGAATGCTATTCTTCCCAATGTATCTAATTTTGATGGGATAAATGCTTAAGCAGTTAAATATAACCCGTATATGAATAAAATGGATTCGATTCTATAAGTTTTTTCATTGAGATACAAACACACAGTTTTTGAATATTGTCTGACTTATAGAGTTCACAAATATGACCTTATCATCGTCTCCCAGTGCACTCCCATCCTCATTTGTTATATTTATGTTCATTTCCAAGGTCAGACTCGTTAATCTAAAAAAATGACCTTCTGAACTTTGTATTCTAATTCGAGAAATTTATCAGATCCCTGATTTACTGGTAATACTTCACAGGTGCGCCCTAGCTGCTATTGAGGATTCAATAATGGTATGTCCTGGTAATTTTGGGAATCCATCAGTTATGGAATGAGAATAAGTGGGGACGGGGGCGTTGAGCCCCCCTGGTGTAACGTATAGAGCACCAGCCGACATACTAACAATATGACAGTCAACAAAAAACCCTAAAATTAATTAAATATTCCAGTTTCTTTTATTATTAAATTTCAATCGTTTCAAACAATCTTTCTACTTCCCCGGATAATAACTTCTGTCCGACACCCTTCAATGTTTCTACACCTCTATTTCTCGCAGAATTTTTCAATGCAATACCATTATTAACATCGTTCAACACATTTTGCCCGTATTGTAATACTCCCGGAGCAAAGGTATTCAATAAAATGGTAATGCTTTTCTGGCCATCCCACCGAGAAATGACAATAATCCTCCGCCCCCTCCCTCTAGCTTTATATAATATAATATCATAAAAAACCCTCCCCCTTTCACCCTCGAAGTATCAAAGAGTTTCGGGAATGATTCCACTGAAGGAGGGGAGAAACTCGTTCTAAATCTTGACGGTTCGTTCAATATTAACTCAACTTGATCATTCACTCTCGTTTTATAGGTCTTAAATGTAGTACACATACAGTAGAACACTTATCATTATATGAATTAACCTTCCTTTCTGACAGCGAGCTTAATACCACTTGATAAATTTAAACTTTTATTAAGTGGTTTATCATTGGGGGGTCATAATTAGATCCTTAATGTATTAATATCAACTACTCCCAAAAGAGATCCCAACTGATCGCCAAAATTGAGGGGATCAATCAAATCACAATATATTAACATATAATTAATACCTGATTCAGGATCGGGTGGGTTTACCGCCTTCACACCATACTCGTTAAAAATAATCTCTTTTTTTTGGGTAAAGACATACAAAATTTCATTACCTAAGAACCCTAGCATATCGCTTTCCTTCTTTATCAAATTCCAACCCCACATAAGCACGGGTAATATCAGAAGGTAGTATAATTTTTTTTTCAAGTTAAAACCACTCTGTTTATTCCGGGATGATATGTGAACACAATTGAGTTTTTGGGGATGATAATACCCGTTTATGTTTAACGCTTTTAAAGGGAATTTGCATTAATATCCTCATTTATTGCCTCTAAAATCCTTGCCAATCACCTCCAAAAATTTTGCTCAATCAATTTTATGCATATATTTATTTACTTTTTAGATTTCTCAATGTAATACATATCTTCAAATTCTTTGCGGTATATAATGCGTCTTGGGGAAAATTATATTTTTCAGAGCAACCTCATAACCCAATTTTATTATCAATATAATGGGGTCATATAATTTATTAATGAAAGCCGAAGGTGTATTGGCGGGAAATAAATCGAGACTTGAATCGCTACACACGTATAGAAGACGTTCAGCCATCTCCACACTCTTATAACACACACTAAATAAAAACATAACTTGACAGAGTTTATATACTCACCTAAAAATGTTATCCACGATGTTTCTCTTCCTTACACCGCCTCCTTTATGTAATAATTGTTTTCTCACTTTGAAATTCCTCACAAAATCAAATGTATACCTGATATATTTAATAAATGCTTTATTTCTGTTAAGTAATCAGAATCGATTCTTCTCGCTGATTTCACATTATTTTCTGATAAAACATTTAATATTTCAATAATATTACGTCCAGTAATGGGGAAAGAAGGTCACCATTCTCATCCCAACTCACCAAAGGATTTCTTTGCAATAATACCAACATTGATTCACATATTCTATATTTCTCGCACTCACTCTTATGTGCATGAATCTTGACAAATCTGGGGTTTTCTGAGGTTTCACACGAGGTGAGAGCAGGTGGTTGACCTGCCTAGCGGGATTAGTCTTAAACTTGCGTTTAACCACCACGCTTCAAGCATCCACCACCACCACCTCCTTCCAAATTCTCACCACCCTCCGATTTTACTAACTCGAGAGGTTTCCGATTCAAAACTAAAATTTGGTACAAGATAAAATTCTTTCATGATTTATTAAACAATCTCGAAATAATATTTACTGCTAGAGGTAATATAAGCCAAGAAGATTCCACCTCTGATACTCAGCAAATTATTTCTTATACGCTGAAAACCGATTTTCTACAAGCTAATGATTTAATCTCGTTTTGTACTTTTTAAATATTTTAGGTCTAATGTATTTTATTCTTAATCAAATTCTGAAAATCTCACTGATACAACTTATGTGTGTTTTCTTAAACTGTTGTAATAAACTCTTCCGATGATTGCGTGGGAGACTATTAAGTAATGTAATTAATTCTTAAATTTTTTCTAATAATGTTTTTTCATTGTACCTTCAACAAATCTCCTTCTTTTACCCACGAATTAAAAGTGGAATCATAACCTTTATAAGATACCAAATAATGCGTAATTCCACCAATTTTTTTTCGTTTCAATACTCTGTCGATAATATATTCTGGAGGTGGTATGACTGGGGTCAATTCTTCGCGATAAAATATTCCTTTAATCTTTTCACCTTTCAAATCTTTCAAATGATATGTTGTTATAGGTTGAGAATTATTAATTCTATATATTTTAAATATTTCCTCTGTATTTTGTGTGTGAAACCCTCGGTTAAACGCGGATGATCTGCTAAGAGTCACTCTTGTTGTGTCTCCAACAGCCAATTTCTTACTGATTCGTTTCTTATTGGATCTTCCATTTTTATAATTTATCCGAAACTGATTCCTTATATCATTCAATGACGTAATACCATGGACTTGCAATGGGGTTTTACCGCCAATCCCCGAGTGCGGAGAGAATTAACGCATCTAAATAATTCATTTAACACTTTTGAATAATTTAAAAGTATTGGCACTTGTCATATACTTGTATAATTTACGTTTCAGCGTTTGCAAGCCTCTCTCTGCAATGGAAGCTTTTGTTTCTTTCGAAAATACATGATATAATTATATGCTTACTCTGGGGATAAATTTTGTACCTGTTTTTTTAGAAACTCCCTGCCTTTATCTGTAAATAATCTCGATATATTCTTCGCCTTTTCATTCTCCAATATGTTTTTTTTAATGCATGTAAAGTGCTCGGTCCGTCTTTCTTTTTTATGAGTACTGCTTGTAAAAAATCTTGAAAAAACATCGATACACACGAGAATGTATTTTATATCCATCATTATATCTGGATAATTTAGACATATCACCCAAATCACAGGTTAATACACTCTGGGGTTTTGGAGCAATTATTTTCCTACGAGGAAACTTCTTAGGTTTAAGAACGTATAAGTATATGATCTTTCTGAATTTAAAAAATTTCTGACCTCTTTCAAGGTTATGGACGGATCGATCTTTTTTACAGCTGTATATAAACTGTTTACACCAGAGAATGACCCAGCAGATCCAGGATCTCTATAAACCTTTTCAATTAATTTTGCTCGCTCCATTGGTATACATTTCGTAGGGAAACCTGCCGTAACACATTGGTTTGCAACTGTAATGCTTCTGGTGTATTTAATGCAAGGTCCTTTTGAAAAAATAACCAAAGGGTGACCGTTTATAGCAGATTTATATATATTTACAAATTCCTTATTTTTTTTTCCCAACACTTGTTTGCCCCAGAATCCTTACTTGTCCAAGATCCCTCATTTAATAAAGCAAAATGCGTGGCGTTTAACGCCATGGTACGACTATATCGCCCCCCCGTGAAATATATTTTGAGTAATCAGAATAATGCTTATATTAAGAGTCTACCTTTTAGTAAAACATTCGAGAATAATTTCACTGTTACCTGCTTTTAAAAATAGATCATCAACAATAATTATTGTATTTTTCATCAGGGGATGCAATGACATTCTGCGGGTCGATAATATTTGTTACTTAATGTTAATTTATGAGTTATCTCTGAATCTTGTTCTAAGGGGTGTGATGTCACCCCACATATTATAATGTTATGAAATTTCTCGTGGTATAACTTTATTAATTTTGATGTGAAATAAGATTTGCCACTATTCGAATAACCGGCAATGATAATCCTTGATGGATAACGAAATATATCAACGTCAGCAGATGTGTATGTTGACAAGTTCAACATCTTCCCCTTATTATTTTAAAATGATCTAAAAGCTTCCTCTCTTTAAGTTGAATGAACTAAAAAGGGTGTTTACCATAGAGAGGCGTCTTGTACACTGTAAGTCTTAATGGGTTTTCAAGATATATAATACTTTTAGTTCAACAAGAGGACACAGTTAATGTGGAGCAGGATTGCCTCACCAAAAATTTGTTGCTTTAGGTGACCGATTGACCTAGGTGTTTCAGTAAGGAATACTGGTATTATATTATATCTTGGATGTTACCCGCATTTCATGGCGCCTGTCTGTCCTGAGTTGACGCAGGTGTTATGTTCTACCTTGGGTGTGAAGCGCATTACATGGCGCCTGTCTGTCCTGAGTTGACCCAGGTGTTCGGTAAGGCGATGATTATCTTTAATCTACCTTAGGTGTGAAGCGCATTACACCATGTGTTGGGGTGACCCACAATGAGTCTCTCAGAGCGAGGACAGTGCTTCTATCCGTGACTGAGCTCATCTTCCCCATATTATTTTAAAATGAACTAAAAGTTTCCTCTCATTAAGTTAAAGGACCTCATCTTCCAACGCTGAACCGCACAACATGGAGAAAGGTAAGTTATACTTAGAAAATTCTTGTTTTTGCATGTTTAATTTTTGTTGAAGCATACGAGTGAAATTTGGGTTAATTTTTGTTGAAGCATACGAGTGAAATTTGGGTTAATTTTTGTTGAAGCATACGAGTGAAATTTGGGTTAATTTTTGTTGAAGCATACGAGTGAAATTTGGGTTAGTGCGTTAATAAGTGAAATTTTTAACAGGGGATAGCATATATTCGAAATACTTGGAAGCATTGGTGAAGAGAAGATTATCGATTAGAAAGCAGCGTTCGTTGATAATCGAGAAAGGCGGTGTACAACGCAATGAAAGGTTATTGCAATTGGATAATGAGTGGGCACGTGTAGATGCTTTATGGAAGAAGGCTATAGAAACAGGTATGTAACCAATTTGTGATCTTTGTTGTTGTGCTAGTCACTCGAGAAAAGATTTTTTGTTCTATTCATTGAAATCTTAATATTTTGGGTTATGAATTGGATGTGCTTTTTTTTTTTCCTCTGTTCATTGAAATCTTAAAACGTATTATGTAAAAATTGTGAAGGGTGACCTTCTTACCCCCATTACTGGACGTAATATTACTATTCATTGAAATCTTAATATTTTTTTGGGTTATGAATTGGATGTGCTTTTTTTTCCTCTGTTCATTGAAATCTTAAAACGTATTATGTAAAAATTGTGAAGGGTGACCTTCTTACCCTCCATTACTGGACGTAATATTATCGAAATCTTAATATTTTGGGTTATGAATTGGATATACTTTTTTTTCCTCTGTTCATTGAAATCTTAATATTTTTTGGGTTATGAATTGGATGTGCTTTTTTCCTCTGCAGGAAATACACCTGGTAGTGTTGTGAATCAAACTGCCCAGCTTGGTGGTGAGAGTGCTAGTGTTGGTACCTCACAATGCGGAGGTGCGGGTACTTCTGCCTCCATTAATGATGATGAGAGAGCAACTACCTCGCATGACGTGTCTGACACGCATAATAGTGAAGATGAGAGCCCAGAAGTTATTACATATATCCAGAATTTTAGAGGTAGACATACAGTGAGGAAATATAGTGTTCCTTCATCTTATAACAGAGAGTTAAGAATGTATTTACATGTTTATAGGGATTATTTTATAGAACAGATGCGAGATATGTATGATAGATCGCCTCTAGCAATGTCGCTCAGAATCCACCCAATTATAGTTATAAGGACATTACGTCAAAACATATCGGGTGATGATCAAAATGGACAATTTGTGATAAATTACGTTTGAGTTAGTAAGTGAAGAGGAAATCTCTGAAGTATTTGATCGATGGTGGGAACGATATTAGAAAGATACAGTCAGAGTTGCAAGATCAGGAAGGATCTGGCTGGATCATAGATCAAATCGAATCTTTCAGTATCGAATATGTTAAAGTAGAATTCAGAGTACAAGTGGGGTCATATGTGGCATATCCCGAGAAACTGCGAGGGAACCAATAAGTATTTAATCCAGAGTTAATGATGGGGTTTTGTTACTTGCGTGCTTTTGCCGCCTATCAATGTCATAAAAAGAACATGTCATGGCGTGATATTCGCAGAGCAGTTACTACTAAGAGAGGTTGTCTTTAAACACGCAAATCTTCTATAGATGATTTCCCCATTACGCGTGATAAGTTAGGTATATTAGAGAAGGAAAATAAAGTGGGCATTATATGTTTATCAATTAAGAAAGGATCAAGATAGGACATTTATGGCTATGTGTCGTAAGGGGAAATAGAAATATAAGGACATTATGTGCGCGTTATTTTTGAATGAAAGACATTTTGGTTTTAATCAAAGATTTGACGGGTATTGTAGAACGATAATGAAGATCGGATGTAAAGAACACTGCCCTAGTTGTTTGATGAAGTTAATACCAGGAAGAGTGATATCCACGAAGATGGATGTAAAAATCAATCAGTTTCTCGTATTCCTCCCGGAAGGAACAACAGTACACTTTGAAAATTTTAGTCATACACATTCCAACGAATATACGGGGTATTTGATTTCGAATGTGCATTAACACCACTCTCCCAGCAGGTAAAATTGAGTCTCGTCATAAAGCCATTGCCTATTGTTATATTATATTTGATCGCAAAGGAGAAATAGTGTGTATAAAGAGTTATAAGGGGGAGGAGCTGTTAATCATTTCATTTTAAAATTTTTAGTGGTGAATGGAATAAAATAAAGTTTAGAAGACAGTATCAGAAATCCATATGACAGAGGAGGATGAAAATGAACATGATTCTCAGAACACTTGTGAATTATGTGGTAACACCTTCAAAAACCCCAAAGATAAACATAAACACCATGACCATACTGTCTCATATGAGTGGAGAATGTGTTAGTAGTTGTTATTGCGATAAATGCGTATGGAGCGAGATGGAATATTTTATGACAAATTCCCAACCTACTTCATGTATGGATGAGGATTCCCCCATTTATTATCCACCAGCTTCCCCCCCAGAAGTTTATTGTATAACAGATGAGGAAGAAGATGATGACCCTGAACAAAATGCACAGAAATTCTACAAGAGAAGAAAAATTACTCTACGTTGATTTTAGTCAATGAATTGTAGCTTTTTTCAATGAAATTGTATTACCAGAAATGTAATGGCTGTATAATAAATAATGAAAAAAAAAAATTATTGTGTATTAGTGTTATCCTGAAATGTGTCTTTCTGATGATGAAAATGCTTTCCCTATGATGTATATGTGTCCCCTTATTAACTTGAATGAACTAAAAAGTTCGACGTCACTGCTATGTCCCCTTATTAACTAAAAGGATCGACCTGATTCAACCTGTGTGCGCGTGACGTCACTGACATAGGGGTAAGTCGACAAGATTTAGCTTGTATGTGTGGTCCTTTTTTAGTTCATTTAACTTAATGAGAGGAATACTGACGTCACTGCTGTGTCCCCTTATTAACTTGAATGAACTAAAAAAAAGGGTCGACATGATTCAGCCTGTGCGCGTGACGACACTGACATAGGGGTAAGTCGACAAGATTTAGCTTGTATGTGTGACGTCACTGCTATGTCCCCTTATTAACTAAAAGGGTAAACACCCTTCATTAGACCTGTAGTAAGCATGCCCCCATAGGAGGAGTCTATTTTGAATGCTTACCCCCAGAGGGGGGATTCCAAAAACTTTGATCCGAGGAATTTCGAAAACCCCATAGGGGGGAATCCAAAAAAACTTGATCCAAGGAGATGGAGAAATCCAAAAACTTGATCCGAGGAGATGGAGAATTTCGAAAAAACCCATAGGGGGAATCAAAAACTTGATCCGAGGAGATCATAAGAAAAAAAAAAATCGAGGCGCGGGGGCGATCCGGACGACGCTGCAGAAGGCGCAGCAGAAGGCGCGAAGGGGCGCGGGCGGGGCGCGCGGGCGGGCGGGGCGCGCGAAGGGCGCGCGGGCGGGCGGGCCGCGCGGGCGGGCGCGCGGGGCGGCGGGCGGGCGCGCGGGCGGGCGCGCGGGCGCGCGGCGCGATGGTGGGGTCGCGAGGCGGGGGGTCGTGGTGGGTGGGGGTATTGGTTGGGGGGTCAAGGGTGAGGTAGTCTCGAGGGCGAGGTCATGGTCAAAACGGAAGTAAACACCTAGGTGTGAAAAAAGGTGACCCTCCAGCTGCTGGTCCTAGACCGGATACACCGCTCAAGCCGCACCCCTAAAACCAGGATACACCGCTCAGCCGCATGCCTAAAAACCGGATACACCGCTCAGCCGCTTTCTTCACTACTCATAGTAACACCAGAGATACAAATATCACACTGTTATTCATAGTAGCGCCAGAGATACAAAGATTACGTTGTTTTACACAGTAATAATAGAGATACAGTGATCACATTGCTGTACATTGTAACACTAGAGATACAGAGATCAAGCTGATATACATTGTAACACCAGATATACAATGATCATCCTGTTATACATAGCAAAATCCTCCCCAAAACTAAATAAATACAACACATAAATAAGGATCAGATGAAAAACAGATGGTGTGGCTGGCTGGGAGGTTCCTGTCTTCTGGCTGCACCAGGTTTACACGGATACAATGATCACATGTAATAACATGGGAAGATACACACATTTTTTTGTAACCTCCCCTGTTATTATATCTACTTGTATATTGAAATTATATATTGACAGTGCTGCATTAACACTGCTATAATGTGTTCTTCACTCACATAAACACTCAGCACTCATTAACACTGTTATAATGTGTTCTTCACTCACATATACTCATATTACCTCTATTCACACCATGTAATTGTTGTTTCTAACTGACTTCCTGTGACATTCAGATTCATTATTTACTTTTCTCTTAACAAAACAAATAAGGTACAAATATACATTATTTGTTTCACTTACATTCTTATTCATCGCGAAGTATCTTTGTTGTAAGAACATTTCACTCACTAAAATATATGTTAACAACACTAAGATACAATGTTATACAT